CATCGACAAGTTAAAATCATGCGCACGCCCAGACGTCTCAATTTTTGCTGATCTTGAGACAGGCGATTTTTAACCACCATTACGCTTATTCAAGACATTGCGACCAGATATCGCATTGCTACGCGGTGAAACATTGGAAATCCTGGAGTCAGTCTGCCATGAGACTAACTTCTTCAACTCTAAAGACTACAAACAATCTAAATACTCTAATAGCTATAAAAATAACTTAAACGACGACTTAAAACATTAAAAAATAATAATAAATACATTTGAAATATCTACTTTAGGTCTTTTTAAAACATTTAATCTTTCGCTAGTAAATACTATTTGAACTGATTATTTTTGCAATAACCTTATAAACTCTGCCATATCATCGTCGTACGCTATCTATTGCGACAGAAATGTGAAATGAATCAATTTTAAAACTAACTCTGGTCGTACTCTCTCGATTCGAATGATGAGCTTCTCCGATTAATACTATATATATTGCATTTGACATTTTATTTTATTTCATTATTTTATTTTATTTGTGCTGTCATTTTCATTGTTTTTATTGCTGAATAAAAGATTGTTCCCATTATTATTATTATTATTATTATTATTATTATTATTATTATCGCAATTAGTGGATGTGTAACAGAACTAAATTCGCTGCCAGCAAAGATGGTAGGCCATAATATTATGTCCCTAAAAGATACCGCAGAGAAAACGAGATTGAAGCTGCGAAACTATTTTAAAACCAACCATAACAAAGAAATTCAATGTTTGTGCAAAGAATCAACAATCAATTGCATCAAAGTTGACAATATCCTTTCAAAATCAAATGCCCTAAAATCATCGCTCAAACAGCTGGAAGATGAAAGAGTTGAATCATGTTTCAATCACGTTCTTTCGCTTGTGAGTCTGGCACAATTATCTCTAAAATAAAAACCGTCATCAAAACTAATAATAATTCTCGTTGGTCAAAAACTCTAGAGAATATTGCTGGAGTCTTCTTCAAATTTGCCAGGAAATATTTGGTACAGCAACTGCCAACAAACGCCAATTTGTTTAAATGGGGCAAAACTCCAAGTCCTTTGTGCCCTCTCTGCGGTTGTAAACAAACAAATAAACATGTGATTTCTAACTGCGGTTCCACATCCGCACTTAAAAGATACACTGAAAGACATAAAATTTTAGCCGCGATCACCAGCCGATTAAAACTGTGTGCGCCTGCCTATTGTCGGTTGTTTGCAGATTTGAAAATTGACGGTGTTCACCCTATATCAGATCTGTTCAACACTCTAAGACCTGACATCGCCATATTACTAGGCAACACAGTAGAGATGTTAGAGTTAACGGTTTGTCATGAAACAAATCTTGAATCATCCGGGCAATACAAGATCTAAAAATATTCAGACAATTCGCACAGTTATCTAAATGACAACTATAAACACTGCACAATAATTATAAATACTTTTGAAATGTCACCAATAGGTTTTTATAATAATTTTAATCTTTCACTTTTTAAAATTTTGTGGCCAGATTCTTTCAACGACGAATTGATAGAGACTGTTATAAAGCTATCGTATGGCATATATTGTGACAGAAACAATTTGTGATATATATTTGAATATACTTCACCGCTATATACTTTTTCTAAAGATGAGCATTGTGTGGCAATCATTGACATTTCATTACATCATTGTGACATTTCATTATTTTATTTTCATTACTATTTAGTGTCTTTGCTTTGAAATAAAAGAGTTCGCATTATTATTATTATTATTGAACAGTGCCTCCATCTTGATTCTAAGCTCCAAAACCGCCAAATTAGAAAAATTCCACAGCCAAGCAGAAAGCTATACCAGAATCCACTTATAAGATAGCCTTTTCCAATTCAGACAAACTAGAGGATCATCATAATTGACCAGTGACCCCAGTATTCCACTCAGGCATTTCATCAAGAACTGTATGATCCAATGAGGGTTCATGATTTTACACACCATTGAAGAGTTCAGCCCAACGAACCAGATGAGTATTTGCCACTCTCATGCTGAGAACACTGCTCTAATTGCGTGGACCGAACACAATTTTTAAATTTTGTTATAATGTTCTCATGTCTCTCTGTTGCATTTGGGCAGTTCTTATCTGTCAAAGCCGCCTTTGCGCAACAATGTATACCGCTTTTTCTTTTTGTTATTACTCTTATCGTTAATCGAAACAAGATGAGTGTTGAGCATGTCATCCAACTCTTTGCAAGCCTCTGTGTCTTGATCATCAAACCTGTCTCTATAGATACCACACCGACGGCCAAGCACGTCGTTCACCGCAGCTTCTCCAACGACCTTTCTGGTTTTACAGTTGGATTGGAAATACTGACATCTTGATGAGGCAATGATCTGACCACATTAAAGTCGCTCACACTGCTTTGTTTTAACGAGCGAGACGAAGGTCACGCTGGTGATTTTGAAATCGATGAGGTTGTTGTTGTTGCCCCTTCCGGAGGACCCTCAGAATACCAATCGAGGTCGGAGCCAATCCGCCACTGCAACAGGGTTAAAGATCCGCGGAGTTTTGGGGACAGCCAAACATATGTTGAACATCACCTGTATAAAAGTCGCTCACACTACATTGCCTCATCAAGATGTCAGTATTTCCAATCCAACTGTGAAACCAGTCAAAAGCCTTTTGCTCAAAAGCACGCTGCCTTGCGTGCTTTTGAGCAAAAGGCTAGGCCCACCGCTTATAACTGGTGGTTGTCGTCAAGCTAGAGTTACAGTTACAGTTATCACAGTTACAGTTATTTATAACTGTAACTGTGATGGAAGAAATCACAAACTGATACGCACTGGTGCCATTTGGAATCTAATATATGCTGATGATATCGTTTTAACAGCCACGTCTGAGCAGAATGCAGCACAGATGTTTGAAGATCGGAACACCAGACTGGCCGATCATGGATTCAAGGTCAACATCAGCAAAACCAAAGCAATGAACACTGGTGAACCCATCCAATCCACAGCTACTGGACGATGGCCCTGTTCAGTTTGTAAAGCTGATGTAGGTAACAATTCAATCAAGTGTCAGTAGTGTAACCAGTGGTGTCACAAACGTTGTTCAAAAATAATTGGTACTTTATCTAAAGTGTCGAATTTTGTTTGTCCTGCTTGCATCAATCCACAACAACAAATTCGAAATAGCAATGTTTTTGAAGCCATTAAGGTAGAGAAAGTTTTATCGTTTCGATATCTAGGGGATGTTCTGGATTGTACTGGAACAGCTGAGGCTGCCGTTCAAGCACGCATGCGTGCAGCCTGGAATAAGTGGCATCTCCTTGCCTCTATATTGATGCGGCGTGACATCCCACTACCACTACGATCAAGACTTTATAAATCTGTGATACGTCCGGTGTTGTTATATGGTGCAGAAACATGGCCAATGACAACCAAACTGGAACAACAACTTCAACGAACCGACATGAAAATGCTCTGATGGATGCAACGAGTTAGTCTGAAGGACCACATCAAGTCTACCGAAATCTAGCGTCGTGCTGGTTTAGATGATATAATGGACGAATGCCAGCAACACCGTCTGAGGTGGTTTGGTCATGTCAAACGAAGTGGAAACAGTGCCATAACTTCTCTTGCAGATGTTTAAGTACCTGGCACACGTTCAAAAGGCCGTCGCAAACAATCGAGCAAGACATAAAAGCTCTAAATTTAAATGAAATGGATACAACTAATCGTCTAATTTGGCGCAAAAAGTTGATGGCAAAGAAAACAACGTCCTACCTCGGGGAACCGGGTCTCTGTACCCAAAACGAAGATTGATTGATCACCTGTATCATTGTTGCAGAAAGGACAGGTGTTGATGTGCCCACTGTCGATTCTGTTTTTGCAGCTGTTTAAAAGAATACTGGGGCCAGATCGGAGTTGGGCGAGGGTCCGCCTGATAATTTATTATAGGTTATTCATCAAGAAATAGCGGCGACTGGTACGACTCAGCGGCGGCTTTAATAGTGTTTGTATGTAGGCTTTTTAAAACTGTCTTCAGAGTATTATCGTCTATTCTTGTTGGTAGAACCGCATCTATTATTGATGACCATTTTGAGAGGAGGATGGTCTTTATGTCACGATAAGGACGAGGTTGTATGATGATATTATGGCACAGGTGGCTTTGGTTGTGGCATAGGAGGAGGAATTGTGAGGCTAATAGCTCTGAATGCTGCCTTACCGTTAACATCTGGTACTCTGACTGCAGGTGCCTTTCTGATGCGACAGCATGGCAACCACTAACCAGACGTAATGTAATATTCTGGGAGCGGGAGAAACTTGAATCTGACGTCAATGATGCCCAGGCAAGACAGGCATACTCGATTGTTGAACGACCGATAGCATGTAGCATTTATCGATGATTTGAGATGATGTATTATTTTTTTTATATATTATAAATCATCGATGCACCTCATCGATCATCTCAAATCATCGAGGAGGTGCTAGTGTCCTGAACGCAGATGCTTTCAACTGTTCTTTTTTTGGCCAGTTGAAAAGCCATCTTTTATATCCTTGTCATCTACGGCTACTCTGTGCATTGCTATATGCATTTATTTATCTTGTTTTCATCCAGCTATTTTTCTGTTATCATTTCATCACCATTATGTCGTGGCCGCCTCATTCATATCCACTTAGAATTCCATGCCTGTTGACCATCGAGTTCATTTTTGGTTTTACCACAGTTCACAGCATGCCGTTAATGAAACTATTTTGTTGCCGGCTTTATTTACCTACTTTTTAATATAGGTTTATTTTCACGCTATTGCATATTATTTTTTTATTGGTAAGTTCTCATAAACGTACCACTTGACATAATCTTAAGTTATCAATGTCCCAAGACTAGTTGAATTGAAATACTTTGCTCTACAAATTATACAATTCATCCGTGTGTTTCACTTTCTCGATTATTATATATTTAACTTATTTTTGCCGTCCTGTTTATTTATGTCCTATATTTTGTTTCAGTGTAGTTCAGTTGTGGAGTTTAGATTCTTCACAACCTACGGAAAAATTGTATGTAAAAGACGTATACACTTGCTGTTATTCTACTGATGGTCTGCTTATTGCCATTGGGTGACGATTATTTTTTAATACATATTTTTTTTATTTTGTTGTTTTAACTTTACATTTTTAAGAACTAAAACTGGACATTGTTTGATACTGCGACCGTTTTCGCACCTCCCATCAATTCAACAACTCTGCAGGAATATCATAAGAAAATGTTTTACTACAGATCAAATTCAGGAGTTCAGTTTTCTTCCGAAATCTTTGAAAAATTATTTGCTTTATATCAATGATGACAAAACTGCATAGCTTTACTTTGATTTTTTTAAATTTGGAGGTGTGTTGCAAAAAATAATGAATCTTACAACTTAACTCAGCGGTTTTTGCGTATTACATATTAATGAGTATTATTATTAAGTAATGTGTAAACGTTTATTTTTTACCAAGGCGTTGTAATCGAAAGATTTGCCAAAATTGGAGTAGGAGTTTTTAGAGAAGCCGAAGTTGGATTCGGATATTTTTTATCTGACTCCGAAAAATGTTTAAAAAATTGAAAAATTTTTGTTAGTTTATATATTTATTATTTATATAATTCATATAATTTTAAAATAATTTTTCAACCTTGTGTTTTTTACAAAATAAGTGCGCGTAGCATAACAGTCATTCTAAACACAGATAATTGATTTCATCAAACGCCCTGTGCAATCATTTTCATTTTTGAAAAATAGTGCGCTTTTAATGTATGCAGTGCTGCACGTAGGAAGTGAAATAATCTAAACGTTGACCAGAAATTAATTATCGTTTAGTATCATATCGTGGAGCTTTCACTAGAGCGTTCAATGGGAGATACGATAGCACGATTATTCCAATTTAAAATTCATTGAGGCAGTGTAACTTTCATGTAATATTAGTAAAAAATTCATTTATACGTGAAATTTTTCTAAATTAAAGCTGAAAATATTTTTGATGTTGCATTGTTTATATTAATATTTAAGTGTTAAATAAAACTACAAGTTTACGCTTGAAAATTGTGTTCGATTTTTCAACAAACAACGTTGTAAGCAATGCAAAATAACGCAACAAATTAGGTTATAAATACTGATAACACTTAACAAGTTCAGTCGGTTAAAGTTTAATGTCTCGCGCTGCAGTTACGCGGTGGCCTGGTTCGAATACCTTCTATCTGTCAGACCTGGTACACGTCCCAAAGGCCGTTCAAAGAAGTCCTGGTCGCAAACAATCGAGCAAGACATGAAAGCTATAAATTTAAATGAAATGGATACAACTGATCGCCTAATTTGGCGCAAAAAATTGATGGCAAAGAAAACAACGTCCTACCTCGGGAGAACTGGGTCTCTGGACGCTAAACGATGATTGATTGTCAGAAACTCAACTATGATGTATTGTGTACGTGCGTCATGTGGTATAAACTTCGTGGCATAAAAGTTTAATTTACAAGTAAGCCTATAGAATAACATCTAAGCAGCTTATGGTTTGATGGAGATACATTACAAATAATAAAATAATACCTTTCTGCGTATATTCCAGTGCCGAAATTAGAGATTTTTGCCGAAGTCGGAATTTTTTCAGGAGTCGGAGTAGGGTATATTTCTTCTGAAAATTTCTTCTAAGATTGTATTAATTAGAAGATAAATATATATAGCGATAAGCAATCATCTTTAAAACTGAAAATAATAACGAATAAAATCACATAATTTTTTCAGTATATTGGTGGCGATCTCAATGGCCACGTTTGAGAAAAAACAGATGGTTTTGACAACGTACATGGTGGTTTTGGCTATGTAGAACGGAATGAAGATGGCAACCGCATCCTTGAGTTTGCTGAAAGTCACGGGTTTTGTTTACTGAACACATTTTTTAGAAAGAGGTTGGAACATCTCATAACATACAAAAGTGGACCATCAGCCACGCAAATTGATTTCTTCGCTGTCAAGCAACAACACAGAAGGCTATTCAAAAATGTCAAAGTGATACCTGGCGAATCATGTGTCGCCCAACATAGACTCCTTGTGGCAGACCTGGTTGTCGAACTGTCAAAACATAAGTCTAAATAAATGCCTCGGAGAATCAAAACGTGGAAGCTGAAAAGCAATATTCATCGAGAAAAATTTCATTAGATTGTCGCCACACAATTAGACCACCAATCGCAAGCCAGTACAGATTGGAGTACATACAAAACCGTTTTGATAAACGCTGCAACTACAGTTTTTGGGAAAATTGGTACAAAACGTCAGCATGAACGGGACACTTGGTGGTGGAATGACAGTGTACAAAATGCAATAGCTGAAAAGAAAGTTGCATACAAGTAATGGCAAAAATCAAAGTCTGTTGATGACCATAAAATTTTCCGTGAGAAGAACAACTATGCAAGACGTCAAGTTGCACTGGCTCGGACAGATCAGTGCAGAGAGTGGCTCACTAAAAGCAAAGGTGAACAATTGAAATCTCTGTATCGTATAGCAAAACAAGCAAAGCGTACGAAAAAAGACATAGTTTGTGCCTCATGTATCAAAAACGACAAAAATGAGATGGTTCTTGAACAAAATGAAATCAAGCTACAGTGGAGAGAATACTTCAACCGTCTGTTAACGAAACAAATCCCATCAATGTTAACTTCGCTCCACCCATCGAAGGTCCGATTTCAGATATCACTGTAGAGGAGCTTACAGAAGCTCTGAAAGCTATAAAGGATGGAAAGGCAGCAGGGCCCTCTGGACTCACAAATGACATTATCAAAGCATCTGGTACTGCAGGCATCCAAACGTTACTACAACTTTACCGTGAAATGTGGAGAAATTGCTCAAGGCCGACTGAATGGAACAATAGTATGACAGTTCCGCTATACATAGGTAGAGATGATCCATTGAATTGTTATTATTTTTTTATTGTATTTTTTCTAGATTTGATTTTAATTTTATCAACCAAATAGTTATTTTTTTATTGTAACCCTTATCTTACTACTTTTAGCTGATACTTATATTCTGTTTTACATTTATATACATATTGCGTACACGTGTGTGCAATCTTTTTATATATGGCTTAGTATGAACGAACAATACAATATGGTTGATTATGAATGTATGCTGCATTTTTTTTTGTTTTTTCTTTCGATTTTTTTCTTGTTGAAAACTTTCGTTTTATTTTTTTCTTATACTTATATATTAACAAAACATTGGAATGTCATGCACACAAATTGACTTTATTGTCATCAGACAACAACATAAACGACTATTCAGGAATACAAAAGTCATTCCAGGCGAAGCATGCATCCCTCAACATCGATTGCTGGTGACCGATATGATCATGGAACGATCACGCCCTGTGACTAATCGAATGCCTACTAGAATAAAGACATGGAAACTGAAGAACCCCATGTTCGGGGAGAAATTCGAGGAGTTGGTATCGGCACAGCTGGATTGTCTGGAGAAGGTAGACATAACCTGGAAATCTTTTCAGGACACCCTAGTGAACGCTGCAACTGCTGTATGTGGAAAATCTGGACCTAAACGCCAGCACAACCGCGAAACTTGGTGGTGGAACGAGATGGTGCAAAATGCTATTGCCAGTAAGAAAGCAGCTTTCAAACAATGGCAGAAGACGAAGACTGATGAAGATCGAAAGACATACTGATCAAAGAACACAGAAGCGAAATGTCAGGTTGCGATAGCTCATACAATATATATATATATATATATATATATATAAATCACAGCATGTTGGGTCTCGTGTGCGTCTACTATTCCACGACCCGGGAGTCTACTGCTCCACATATCGGCAGTATATATTAGATTTTAGCTCTGGTTTTTCTTCAAATAAAATTTCTTTGATATGAGTACTCCCAATACCCTCTATTTGCTGATACCCTGACCAACGAAAGGCGCTTTGGCTGTACATATTCTTAGCAGCGGAACTAATTCATTTTTAAAATTGGTTGTGGTGAATGGCTGGAATTGTATATTTTATCTATTATTATGCTGATTGTGTCCTCTACAGAGACATTTGTAAAAAGTGACTCCACATCCAAAAATACTCTCTTTACAAATGTCCCGGTATTATAATTTAATAAGAACCGATATTTGTAATATTTGGTGGATTAAATTAAAATGTAATATAATCCTGATAATTTATAGATTTAAAAATATCAACCAAATTTACACCTGACATCACATCAGTTATTAGCGTTGCAGAAATATTATCTGAAACTAACTTTACATCTGAAGAAAACTGAACATACAAAATGTTTAAGTTATGATAGAATCGGGTTATTGGTTACAAACTTAGAAAATTAAAATAAGTTTATTTTTTACATATAATAAATCATAACATAAATAAAGAACACTTCTGAAAATTCTCCTGACAACATATCATATCTTTATTTCAAAACTTTAACTTAAAAAACATTTAAATTAAATTATACAACTGAAACATGAAATGATTAGTTTTTTTGTAACACTAACCTAGTCAAATATCGTTAGAAAAGCATCTTTGAAAAATAAATTTGAAACCAACTTTATAAAAACTTTCTGGTGTAAATTGTTTGCTACAAATTAAAATCTTTTTTGTCATTGTAATTGTCAATGTACTTTTTAATAAGGTATTCCTATTGTATCCTCTTAATCTTAATGTCATTCTTTGGCAGTCTGAATTTAAATTTAATTTAATATTAATATCATCACAAATTATTGATAATACATTTTATATTATAAGTGTAAACAAGCTTACAACTTTGAGTTAACATTTATTACATACAATATTTATTTTATTAATATAATTGTTTTCTGATTATTAGAATTATATTTTATAGAGTATACTTTTTTATTATCATATACTGTTATTTATTAAATTATTATATAATTGTTTGCTGATTATTATAATTATATTCTATAGTGTTATACTTATAGCTATAGTACTGTATACGTATATATATATATATATATATATATATATATATATATATATACACGTATACGTATCAAAAGAAATGGGGAGGAGGAAGAAGGATAAGTTTGTGGCAAAGAGAAAGACATGGAAGTTGCAGGATGCAGAGGTGAGGAAGGCATTTGAAGTGAAGGTGGCTGAAAATTGGGAGAGTGGTAAGGATGGAGATGTTTGGGAGAGATACAGGGACTGTGTGATGGCTACGGCAGATAAAGTATGTGGATGGACGAAAGGAAAGTGTAGGCATGGTGAGACATGGTGGTGGGATGAAGATATAAGAAGGGTTTTGGAAGTCAAGAAGGAGAGGTTTAGGGTATGGAGAAGGGACATGACGGAGGAAGCGGAGTCTG